GGTCATATCAGAGAATGATGCCTGGCCTGCACATGCTCAAAAAGGTGACGTGCATAGGCCAAAGAATCTCTACAATTATCTGGGTGCATACAATGATTCTTCACAATTTAATTGAGGTTCAGCCAGTGATGATACTTTGTGTACTGTAGGAAGATGGTGTCATTTCATGCTTCTTCCAAAACACCCATGCACAGGTGTTTCCTAAAACTGAGGGATCCTGAAAGAGCTCGTGATTTCCTGGAGTCTGAGAGTTATCCCAGGCGAGTACCTTCAGGGAGACCTGGCCGTAGAGAGTTGGGCTTGGCTACGGTTGTTAGGAGAGCCCACTGAACAGGGACCAGAACCACCAGAAGTGCACCAGAGAGGCCTATACTAGACACAACATAAATCCTGCCAGATGAGACCATGGTATTTGGCATTGCGACAGCTCTGGCCTAAAATATAAAAATGTCAGGGACAGAGAAAAGATGAGAAGGTGCCTAGGGCTACCTTGGATCCATGCTATCTTTAGTTGGGTTGAGCTCTTTGGAGAAAACAAAAGTAAGTAAAATGAACTCAGAACACTTTCTTTATCCCTTTAAGTTAAAAAGAAATCTGGTTAATGGGGCTAATTTCAAGTATTTACAAATGATTAACTAGATTTATGAATGCCACCCCAACACCCCATAAAGCAGAGAAAGAAACTCTTCTTTCACTCTTCTGTTCTCTTTACAAATCTGTTGAGCGCTTGCCGTGCCCATCCCCTTCACATGGGATTCTGTACAGATCAGAGCTAAATGCACACAGATGCTGGGGGATTTGTCCACAGTCACACTGCTGGTAAACAACCAAGCTAAGATACACTCAGGTCTTCCGCTTCCAAGTCTGGAAGTCTGGAGAAGCTGTCTCTAAATCACACTGTTTTATTATGAAGCCAAATTATAACATCCACTACAGAATATGAGTTATTTGACATTAAAATGTACACTGACTTAAGACACTTGATACTAGCATAATTGTTACAACAACAATTATCTTCAAATGGGAGCACATGCTTCACAGAAATAAATGAGCACTCTAAGGGGTACAATGTACAGATTATCTTAAAGAAATCATTTTCCAGGTTATCTACCTCCAATATATAAAACAAGGGGCCTTCAAAAAAGTTTGTGGAAAGTGGAATCAAACTGTGTCTTTGTGATACATTTTTTAAGTTTCCTGGGGTGTATGTGTGTGTGTGTGTGTGTGTGTATACTTTCTTTCCTTTAATCCACCTACTTAAATATGCACTTGAACTTGAGGGATCAAACTGGTTAACCATCCAAGGCAGTAAATGAAGGGGTGATTCAAAGTATTGATGACAGTATTGACTCTGAAACTCTTAATGAATCTTTCTACAAGTTATGTGGGTTTTCAATTATTTGTTCTCAACAAAATTAAAGGAAGTAATACAGTTATCCCAAAAAAAATCTTTCAAATAATTTTTAATGATAGGTTGCTCTGTAGATTTGGGTCATAAATATCAGAATAAGTTGAAAACATTTAATGACTCTGCTAAAAAAAAACATTGTCCAATATAATCTACCTATTAACATGAAGAATTTTCCTTTATATTTAAATTGAAAGGCAAAACCAAACAAAATAGACTTGATGTTAAAATGTAATTATGATAATATGTAATATTCATTCATGAACTGATTTTTTAAATTTCTTTTTTTTTTAATTTTTTTTTATTTTTGACAGTCAGAATGGACAGTGAGAGAGAGAGAGAGACAGAAAGGTCTTCCTTTTGCTGTTGGTTCACCCTCCAATGGCCGCTGCGGCCGGCATGCTGCAGCCGGTGCATCGCACTGATCTGAAGCCAGGAGCCAGGTACTTATCCTGGTCTCCCGTGGGGTGCAGGGCCCAAGCACTTGGGCCATCCTCCACTGCACTCCCTGGCCACAGCAGAGAGCTGGCCTGGAAGAGGGGCAACCGGGACAGAATCTGGCGCCCCGACTGGGACTAGAACCCGGTGTGCCGGCACCGCTAGGTGGAGGATTAGCCTATTGAGCCGTGGCGATGGACAATTTTTTAAATTTCATTCATCTCTTTGCATTTCAGATAATTTTTCTTTCTATATTTAATTATATTGCACCAAAATCTACACATTTGTAGGTTGTTTGCTCAATTGTGCTGATCATTATACTAACAAAGCTAATCTAACTCTGAAGAAATTTTTTAACACTTAGAATGTTATAATTATTGAAATTCCAATAAAATAAAATTTTACATCATACACATATTTTTGTTACCGAGAAGTATGATAGACTGACCAATATATGCCTTAAAATATATTGAAATACAATTGAAGCTAAAAAATGTAATTGTATCATTTTTTAAAAAATTTTATGGTTATACAAGCAAAAACTTTTTAACACAACTGAAAGATAACATTAGGAGATACCAGTACAAATACCAATATTTACCTGGAGCCAGGTGCCACAATTGTATGATACCAAAATGAAAGTAAAATCACAACAATTTGATCAAGTATCAGGTGACTCAAAAGAAGCTTTAGGGGCTACTGTGTGACCGACCCCTGCCACCTATATGGGAGACCCACTTGGAGTTCCAGGCTCTTGGGGTCTTCCTGCCTCAGTCCCAGCCCTTGCATTCATTTAGAGAGTGAACCAGCGGATGGAAAATCTCTCTCTTGCTCTCTCACTCTCTTGCTCTCTTGCTCTTGCTCTCTCTCTCTCTCTCTCTCTCCCCCACCACTTCTGTAACTCTGCCTTTCAAATAAATAAATAAAGTCTTTTTTTAAAAGAAGCTTTAGATGTCAATAAAATAAAATAATCAGAACTCTCAGTTGCTATTTCAACAGCATAGACACAATATTAACCTGGCAAGTCTTGTAAGCTGGCAGAAAGCAGAACGAGAATGCATCCCATTAAAACTGAAAATTACCCACCACATCTCTGATGGGATTATGAGCAGAACCCCAGCTAGGACTCATTCTCACTGCTTTCAAGTTAGAATTAGGTTATTGGGTTGATTACAGCTCTGAGATTCAGAGGTGTGGCTTATCCTCCCTGTGCTGGTTCGGGTAAGCAACCTGAGGAAGCTACTGCTTTTAGGTCTCCTCCTTTATTTGAAAGAGTCGCAGAGAGAGAGAGAGAGGGAGAGACAGAGAGAGTTCTTTCATCTGCTGGTTCATTCCCCAAGTGGACCACAATAATAAGGGCTGGGCCCAGATGAAGCCAGGAGCCTGGAACTCCATCTGGGTCTCCCAGGTGGGTGCAGGGTCCCAAGCACTTGGGTCATTTTCTGCTGCTTTCCCAGGCACATTAGCAGGGAGCTGGACTGATTGGTAGTGAAGCAACTGGGACAAGAACAGGCACCTACATGGGATGCTGGTGTCCCAGGCAGCAACTTAACCCCCTGCACCACAACACAGGCCCCGTTCCTACTCCCTCTTAATCTATTAACCACTCCTTGGTTTCCCTCCTCTTCGCCCCTCCTTCTGTCTTCTCCTCCCTCTATCACTCTTTCTTCAGAAAACCCTTTCCTTATGCTGTGGATTCAATGTTTGGTCGTGATTTCCCTGCCACAGAAAATATGTCTCCATCTAATTAACCCCATTGAAGTGTGCCATACCTTTCTTGTTTCTTTTAGCACTTAATTTAAAAAATGCAATTGTTTGTTATTTCTACTTCCTGCATAAGTCATTAACAATGACTACCTGCTTTAAGGTTCTATAACCTTCCCAGTTCTCATTCTCCTTGACCACACATAATCCATTAGCTATTCCTTCCTTGTCTAACTTCATAGCACTGCTCTCCCTTCTGCCTCCTTTGTGAAAACTTCCTCCACCTCCTTATCACTTCTCCTTTCTAAGATCTGCTTCCTTTCCAACCCCCACCATACTGCTCCTCGGTCTCACACCAACAGAATCTGCCCTGCAGTCACAGGTCCCTCCACCTGAGGGGCCCTCTCTATTCTCTGCATCTGTCAGAGCCCGCTGCTTTTAGGTCTCCTCTTTCTGCTCCTGCACAGATCTAAGCATTTCGTACAGGATTCTGTCCTGTGCTTACTTCATTTGTCTTCTTAAATAGTGTCATTTATAATTCTCATTTCCTCCAGCTTCAACTAATGTGACTATCTTGAAAAAATATTCAATTGCAAACAGAAGTACATTGGAAACAAATAAATCAAACTTAAGTCATCATTCCCCTACAGTGATATACTCCTGCTGAAGTTTCTGCTTCTTTGAATAGCTCTTCCACTCTCCCAGAAAGCCAAGTTCAAATCACCAGAATTGTTTCAGCATCAGTTCTTTGGTAACCTCTCTCCTCCAGCACCACGTTAGCACACATGTTTGTGTTCTGATTCACCTTGCCTAAGTAATGGCTAATCACTAAGTGTTTCAGCTTCAAGTGCCTCCCTATGTAATCGTCCCTTCATATCAATGGCATGTCTTCAAGTCTGAGTTTTCATCACTCCCAGTCTCTACCCCATAAGACCCAAACTCCTGAGCCAGATCTATAAAGTACTCACCATCTGCCCCCAGAATGGGCATGCCAAACCTCCTCTACCTTCCGGCTATGATAGTACTTGCCATTTCTGCATCATCCTTTAAAACTTCCTGCCTTTCTGCCCTTTCTTCTCTATGGATTCCTCTACAACTTCCTCCTGTAGAGCCTTTTCAAATTTCTCTTCTCTTAGGAGGCCTTCCCCAAACCCACTTTGATAACTTGGGATGTCTGCTCCACCCTCCCACTGGGCTCGTAAGTCCCTCAGTCATAGCACAAATCCTGACCTGGCTTGCTCCAGAGTTATATCCATGTGACTTGAAAATTAAAAAGAATTTGGAGGGCAAAGGTCTGTCTTACTCATTTTTAGTTACCCCCGTTTATTCCATATTATTAACTAAATAAATACTGAAAAAATTATGTAAGAAAGGTATCATGTTAAGGTTTTAATAACACTGCTTCCTTTGATTATGAGAATTTATACTAATGTTGTGTTTTCCATAACAGGTAGTCCTGGAATTAAACAGTGAATTTATTGTTGAGGTAATGTACAACAAGAATATTTCTCTATTTAAATTTAATAGACAAATGGATTTTATAGTAAATCAAATATCAAAGTTCATAATATTTCAAATTGTAATCATCCAAATGAAAGAGGAAGAATTTTGTCAAAAAGAAATAACAAGGGTAAAAGTCTCTGTTTCCAAATTGCTGTGCTTTTAAGGTGGGGTGTAGGACAGCTCAGTATCTTAGTAGCTGCTGCTTATGAAATCAGGCTAATCACTTACTGACAAGTTTCGCAGGTCATAGCAGAGCAGAGGAAGCAAGAAATGGTGCAGAGCAGAAGAGGAGCTTTATAGACACGTCTGCAAGGAAGAGAACTGACAGGGCTGTCAGAGAGAGAAAGATGCAACACAATTTCAAAATGTGATCACAACTAAAGAGATCGGCATTTAGAATAAGACTCCTAATGATGGGGGTTAATTTTATTATAGTATTTAAATTGTCATTATGGTCACCTCAAATCATTAGAGAAAATGAAGTTACTTTTCTAATCTCTGTTAATAAAATAGGAACGATAGGCCACATTTCAGGATGTATCAAAAGAGAAGAAAAAGTAGAATTCATTTGTTCTTGAAAGGATATCCTCCATTCACATGAGAGTTCTTCTCTAAGAGTGGTGATTACATGGAGCATTTACTTAAATAAGAACATTTACTCAATAAGAACATTGAGACTTACAAAAATATATGTGAATGTGTATATGTGTATGCATGTGTACAAACATTATTGTTGCATCAGGTAAAGGAATTAGACATTGAAAATGGCACCACAAAATGGCAAACCGTCAGAAGACAGAAGCGAGAGTGGATCAAGTTTGCTGCCGCCTGCAGAGAGGGAGAGGACAACTCCAAGAGGAACCCGATTGCCAGAGTAAGTGGTGAAACAAGCAGGGGTATCCTGAGCTGATAACAAGTGCTTTGCAGGACAGGAAAACTCTGAAGTACTTCCAGGACTTGCAGCCTTTGCGGCTCCATAGTGACGTAAGAAAATGGGCAATGTGGCCTTTTGTTCTGCTGCTGAGCCTCTGCTGAATTATCATAGGCTGGAGGGTGATGGAGAGCAGAGGCTCCATGGCAAGAGATCCTAGGAAGGAAGACTTGGATCTCCAGCACAACTGGGCTTTGTCCATTTGTGTTCTGTTCTTTATTGCTCCTGTTTGTTATAGCAAATTTATCCACATAGCAATAGTCTAAAGATTAACTTACAGAAAGTCACAAGTTTACATTTGTCTAATTCACTCCAAGAAAGTGAAGATGGTTTCAGAAGTTCCCACCAGATCTCAACATCTAGGAGAGTCTTAAAAGGCCTTCACAAAAATGGCTACCAAAAAGGAGGGCTAGTGAAAGGAAGGATGTGGTATAAACTGATCCATGAAGGAGGGATCCACATCAGCGGATTCAGGAGCTCTTCCTGGGTGTCTTGGCATTGGGTCACCATTGAAATCAACAGTAGCATAATCAGCCAGAACTCCCGCCCCGTGGCTTTGCAGCAAAAATATTGTAGCATCAGCCGTGATGCGACAGCCCTCACCTCATTCAAGAAAAGAGAATCATTCTCTCTCAGAAGTTTTCAGATTTGGGAGAAGTTTTTAAAATTATTTTCATTCAACTCATTGTTTTATGTTATTTCACTTAAATTGCATATTCTTTTCTCCTATATAAAGATCTTTAGAGCCAAGCTAACCAAAGTTGTATTTCCTGCTGCCAGTATTTAATTGTAGATGTTTTAGTAATAAATTAGAGTATTTAACAGATTTTTTTTTCCATCTTTAGGATGTAAATAGCATTTCTTTACATCCAATAGATAAAAAGCTATTAAAACAAAATATATATGGCACAATATTTGCTATAAAATCCACTTGACAGAAGAGAAGTACTATGGACTTAAATTTATGAAACTATTTCCAATTTCTCTAAACATAATATCTCTTATGATTTGATTAATTTATCAACTATTTTGATTAAATCCCAAACTCGAGTCTAGGCCAGGTGTTGTTGATACAAGATATTCTTTTAAAAAAGTAAATATTGTGATTTCAGTAAAATTCTCTATGTGCCAAAAAAATTCAAAGACTTGAGTAATGTATTGTTAATAATAATAAGTCTTGGGGCCGGCGCCGCGGCTCACTAGGCTAATCCTCCACCTTGTGGCGCTGGCACACCGGGTTCTAGTCCCAGTCGGGGCGCCGGATTCTGTCCCGGTTGCCCCTCTTCCAGTCCAGCTCTCTGCTATGGCCCGGGAGTGCAGTGGAGGATGGCACAAGTGCTTGGACCCTGCAACCCATGGGAGACCAGGATAGGTACCTGGCTCCTGCCATCAATCAGCGCGGTGCGCCGGCCTCAACGTTCTGGCCGCAGCGGCCATTGGAGGGTGAACCAACGGCAAAGGAAGACCTTTCTCTCTGTCTCTCTCTCTCACTGTCCACTCTGCCTGTCAAAAAAATAAATAAATAAGAAGAAGAAGTCTTGCATCAATTACATATGTGCCAAATGTACATGGCCTTTAGACTGGAGCTGGATATATATTACCATCACGCAACAAGCCTATGAGATAATGTCAAATCCACTATTAGCTTGGAGAATGTCCATGAATTTTTCCAAAGTCACACAAGACTAAGTCATGGTGCTGAATTTCAATCCAAAGCATTCTGGCTACAAAATCACTTTCTCCTTATTGCACTTTACCTTGAAGGCCGTGATTTGCTCCAGAACAAATCACAGCCCTAGCCATTTTGCTTACAGATCCGATCTGACTGTGAAGCGAACCAGAAGATTACATACCGCATTTCTGGAGCAGGGATTGACCGACCACCTTACGGCGTGTTCACCATTAACCCTCGCACAGGAGAAATTAACATCACTTCAGTGGTGGACAGAGAGATAACCCCACTTTTCCTGGTAAGTCACAGCAGTGTATTTTCATTTACGTGTATTTTTTCTCTTTTTTTTTTAAAAATCATCTCAGGATAGTGGCTTATTTCTATTGTTTATTAGAAAGGCAGAGTAACAGAGCGAGAGCTTCCATCTGTTGGTTCATTCCTCAAATGGCTGCAACAGCCCACGCGGGGCCAGGCTAACGCCAGGAACCAGGACCTCCATCCAGGTTTCTCACACTGAAGACAGAGGCCTAAGTCTTGGGCTGTCTTCTGCTGGCCTTTCCAAAAGTATTAACGGGAAGCTGGATGGAAAGCAAAGTAGCCAGGACTCAAACCAGAGCTCCAATACGGGATGCTGGAGTCGCAAGCAGCAGCTCAACCCTCTGTGCCACAACCCTGGCCCCTGTGGCTTCTTTGTGAGAAAGCACATCTAAAAGAAAGAACGTGGAAGCGTAAGTTTATAGTTCAGGATTCTGTGGTGTGTTGCAGAAGCATGGGATCCAGTGATCTGATTCTGTTTAAATGACTACTCTAATACAGTAAGAGCCCACTGGACTGGCTGTTTCTTTGTATGTTTTCTCATGTATTTTCAAGCATGAGACTCCAATTTCCTTCGGTGGAGAAAGACTTATTTTTTTTCTAACTTCCCACAGATCTATTGCCGAGCTCTAAATTCACGGGGTGAAGATTTGGAAAGGCCTCTGGAGCTTAGAGTCAAAGTGATGGACATAAATGATAACGCTCCAGTTTTTACGCAAAATGTGTACATGGCCAGCATTGAAGAAAACAGTGAAGCCAGTGAGTAGAATGACCTCCTTCACACTGTGTCATGTCTGCTTCTTTGGGTCAAAAGCTCTAGATGGTTGAAATACATGCCATCTCAAAATCAGAAAAAAGTCAAAATTGTATTTTGAATAATCCCTGCCAATTTCTACCTACAACTAAGATAGAATAAAAAGTCATGTCTAAGATGCTAACCATCCTCTTATTTGTGGAAGATTGGTATCCCTGTGATTTAGTGCCTCCCTCAAAGATTGTTAGAGGCCCCTGAGTCACTTAACCCAAACAAGTAAACTGAGGAAGAAACCATCATAAATGCTAAAATGAATAAATAAACATGTGGCTCTGTTCTGATCTAGTCCTCAAAATTCCTGGCTGATTGAGTGGTGGTGCTGCGTCACTGTACCCATCAACTCCGTCCTGGGAGTGACCTCTGACTTCACAAGCTCACCATCAGATTGCTTTACCTTCCTTTGAGTTGCCTCTTCTCCCTGTCCCACTTAGATCCACTCCCCGTTCTAATGCCCTTCTGTCATTCCCGCCTTAGACGAGCGATTCTGAACTTCTGCCCTTCCTCCTCGCGTGCTTCTCCCATGTTGCTCCTTCAGTCTGTCACCACGCCCTTGTCTTCTGCCTCTTTCTTCTTCCATCTGCTTTCACCTTCCCTTTCAAATCTACCCATGTCTACCCATATAGCTCTGAGTACATTTAGGGTAAAATAATAGAAGAGAAATAGATTTCAGAAGAAAATCAGATGAACTTGTTTTTGAGCATAGGAATGGAGGACACAGAGAGCAGGGGAAAGTTGTTGGAGACAAAACAGGAACAGGCTTTGACCCTCACGGATGTCTTCAGGACACCCTAAGGGAAGGAAGAAAAGAGGAAAACCCGCCACCAAGGCCCCTGGTGCTGGGAGCAGCTTTGTCCTCGCCTCCTCGTGTGAAGAAACAGCTGCAGGGCCAGGGCAACTGTTACAAATCATGGATCCCATGCATCCTTGTCTCTTTCTGCTCAAAGACTCTCTGGTTCTCTGGTGTAGGACTTTGTACTCTGAGGCCTGGCTGGGAATCAAAATAACCTCAGGGACCAGGCAGCTCTGGAAAATCTGTCCTGTGGACTTGATGTCGTTAGGGATTGGCCTAGGATGCCTTCTTTGCCCTTATGAATAATTAAGAACTTCTTGTATGTACATGGACAAATATTTCCAAAAACTATATAGTTTTGACTGTTCAGGAAAGTACTGATATCTTGCAATGCACCAAATTGTAATTCTGCTTTCTGGATAAGTGAGAATTAAAAATATAGGTGCTCAACAAACAACTACAACATTGAACATAATTAAGTTATAATCTTTCTTAACTAAGCATTTTAAAATAATTTCACAAGACCATGGCAAAACCAAAACTCACAAAATCGGTTTCTTCAGCTTCAGCTTTCTGGTAGTCCCTTGAACTTCTTTTTCATAAATTAAGACCACTGCATTTTGATACCAATTTTCTAGGTGATCTTTATAAACAATAAGAGATTTTATAGATGTGATACTTCAGTACTTTATAAACAGCAAGAGGTTTTATAAAAGCAAATCACCATTATTTTTGAAATCATGGGTAAAATTGAAAGTTATAATAATATGTTTTCATGGAAAACTCAAACAGGGAGAAATCAGGAGAAAGGCCCACCACTCTTCCTTCTGATATCTAGTAATTTTTTGAATTTATTCTAACAAAATCCCAACCACTCTCCACCTCTGTATTCATTTCCAGATTCACTGGTGGTAAAGTTAAGTGCCACCGATGCAGATGAAGACAATCATCTGAATTCCAAAATTGCCTACAAGATCATCTCTCAAGAGCCTGCAGGTGCACCAATGTTCATTTTGAACAGATACACTGGAGAAGTCCGCACGATGTCCAATTTTCTTGACAGAGAGGTACAGTCTTCTATTAATGAATGATAAGAGACAAAGACTTCAGTTTTCAGAAGACAATGATGAAGGGTCCATGCATGCCTTTACTCCAATGTAAAGGAAGGAAGGAAAAATAGTTGAATCACTTTAAGGGAAACATAAAGCTCAATTACATAAACTTCATCTAATGTGTTCACTTTTTTAATTTTTTAAAGATATATTTATTTATTTGAAAGAATTACACAGAGAGAGAAGGAGAGGCAGAGAGAGAGAGAGAGAGGTCTTCCATCCGCTGGTTCACAAATGGCAGCGATGGCCAGAACTGCACTGATCCAAAGCCAGGAGCCAGGAGCCAGGAGCTTCTTCCAGGTGTCCCATGCTGGCACAGAGGCCCAAGCACTTGGGCCATCCTCTACTGCTTTCCCAGACCATTGCAGAGAGCTGGATCAGCAGTGGAGCAGCTGGGACTTGAACCAGTGCCCATATGGGATGCTGGCACTGCAGGAGGTGGCTTTACCCACTACGCCACAGCACCAGCCCAATGTGTTTACTTTTTAAAAGAGGGAAAAGACAACATTGTAATGTCTTGGACTCTATTCAAGACAAGGCCTAAGTCTTACAATTCTTGTATCTTACTTAAGCAACACAGTATGTACAACCTGCTTGTGAGGGGCTCAGATCGGGATGGAGCTTCGGATGGACTCTCTTCAGAATGTGACTGCAGAATCAAGGTTTTAGATGTCAACGACAATTTCCCTGTCTTGGAGAAGACTTCGGTAAGTCTGTTAGCATCATTTTCCATAACTGTCGGTATTCGGTTTGCTTTCCTGCTGGTTCGTGAACCTCATACTGTTACATGGTATGGATATCCCCAGCTCCATTGTATAAACCTCGGAATTTCTTATGTATATTAATATGTCCTAATAGTGTGTGTTTGACTCACTCTTCCAAGCAAATCTTTGCTGTGAAAACAATGAACTATCTACACCAAATGTTCTACATAGAAGAGTGCAAATGTTAATATAATTTGGAGAATGACAAAACAACATTGCTATGTTTTTAGATGCTTCATGATATGCTGAGTTAATTCTCCCAGAGTCCCAAACACTCCCAACTTCCATCTTAATCTTCAGGCATTAAGAATCTAATCTAAAATAGCAGGGCAAAATCAGGCCAAAATGCCTCCCATTTTGGCAGAAACACATTTGATTAGACCACAACAGTACTCATTTCTTTCCAGGCAGTCTGTGGCTGCTTTAAGCTGCAACAAAAGATGAGAAGTCAAAATACAGACCTTCTGAACCACAATGCCTAATGTGTTTACTCTCTGACCCTTTACAGAAAAAGACAATCTGATCTCTTGTCTAATAGAATGGAGTAAAGTAAAGAGAATCAAAAATAAACAAAAAACAAGTACCAATGTGACCTTAATTTCACTTGCAGCACTGAAAATCAGTTTCCTTATTTTATAATCATTTTATTCTTATATTTTCAATTAGATTGTGACATTTACTAATGCTACAAAAATCACTGACATAGTTTATTGCTTATAGTTTATTATAAATGATGATTATGTGTTAGTAAATATTCTCCTTTTGAAAAGCAATTGATTATAAAATTGATCTATATCATTTCAGTATTCAGCAAGTATTGAAGAAAATTGTTTAACTTCAGAACTGATACGACTGCAAGCAATTGATCTTGATGAAGAAGGCACCGATAATTGGTTGGCAAAATATTCAATTCTCTCTGGAAATGATGGCGAATGGTTTGACATTCAAACAGACCCAAAGACGAATGAAGGCATTTTGAAAGTCGTCAAGGTACAATATGGGTTCTAATATTTTCTTGCAAAGTTTTTTTTTTAACTTTTATTTAATGAATATAAATTTCCAAAGTACGATTTATGGATTACAATGGCTTCCCCCACATACCGTCCCTCCCACCCACTACCCTCCCCTTTCCCACTCCCTCTCCCCTTCCATTCACATCAAGATTCATTTTCGATTGTCTTAATATACAGAAGATCAGCTTAGTATACATTAAGTAAGGATTTCAACAGTTTGCTCTCACACAGAAACATAAAGTGAGAAATAATAGATGATTTTTTTTTAAATGATGATGAAATCAGATCAGACCTATTGTCATGTTTAATCCCAGTGAGAGTCAAGTTGGGAGTTGATAATTTCTTTCTTTCTTTTTTTTTTTTTTTTTACAGAGGATCAGTTTAGTATGCATTAAGTAAAGATTTCAACAGTTTGCACCCCCATAAAAACACAAAGTGAAATATATTGTTTGAGTACTCGTTATAGCATTAAATCTCAATACACAGCACATCAAGGAGAGAGATCCTACATGAGGAGTAAGTGCACAGTGACTCCTGTTGTGTTGACTTTACCAATTGACACTCCTGTCTTGCAAAGTTTTAAGAGACTCTTAGAGACAGAATCAGCTTTTAAAAGAGTACACCATAAATTTGAATATTGCTTATGTTGACAAATACCCTAAGTATGCTACTAAGTCATTCTAAACCTTCCAGCTCTATGACAGCAATGTATTACTAAGAAAAATAAGACTGTTTTGTCCACACAGTCTCCAATATCTAATTAAGAAGATAAAGCAAAAAAAATCAAATCAGATAATTTAGGTGATTTACCAATAACATAAACAGTGGCACAGGCAATATGACATGAAACATAATTCATTGCCAATTGGGCAAAATATGAAATAATTCATGCAATAAGAGAAAGGTAGATCCTTCTGATCCAGAATCATCTGAAAAGCTTTCATGCAGGAAATAAGGTCTAAGAAGAACCTTATATCTGAGTTTGCTAATGTGGGCAATGAAATGAGCAAACACACAGAGGTGAGAAAACGTAAAGCATGTTCAGGCCATGATGAGCAACCGTGGGCGACTGTAGCAGAGTATTTGGGTGGGAAAGCAATGAGAAACAACTATGAAGACATTGTGCTGGAGTTAGTCTGCTGATACCTTGAATTCTGAACTACAGGGTCTGGCCATTTCCTACAGATTAGTTTCTCTTAAATTACTTTATTCCTTTGCTTCATGGCCAATGACAAAATCTAAAAGCTTATAAATTAAAAACAAAATCAAGATGGAACAATTGGTCTAATGGCTAAGATTCTTGCATCCCACATCAGAGTATCTGGATTTGACTCTTGACTCTGGCTCATAACTCGAGCTTTCTGCTAATTCAGATCCTGGGTGGTGCAGTGATGGTACAAATAACTGGGTTCTTGCCATCCATGTCAGAGACCCGGATTGTGTTTTTGGCTCCCAACTCCGGCCTTGACCCAGACGCATCTGTTGCAGCATTTGCAGAATGAGAGCTCACTCACTCTCTCTCCCTCTCTCTGCCTCTCAAATAATTCTTAGAAGCCCATACAAGCCAATAGAATTCAAATGATCATGAATGAAAAAAGGAAAATTATCTTTTTCTCACAGGAATTCATTACTAACATAAACAACACTTATAGCCAGGGAAACAGACACTGTCAAACACATATATATTTAGTATGCAATGTGAATGTAATCAGTTAATTCTGTTACTACTTTTTCCTGTTAAAGTTATTGTGAAATTCTTTCAGGTATTTTATTACTAAAGCATTTACCCTTTACCTGGTGCAAACATGTGATTTATTCATTGAGTATTTCTCCCTTTCTTTTCTCCAATGACTGGAGCAATTTTCAAAGTGTTACTACTTTACCACCAAAGCACAACCATGTACCCTGAAATGGTTTACTAATTTATGAGATCATCACCAAACTTATGGAAACTACATACTTTTTAAGATTATAATTCAAATAAACACACATCTTCACAATTCCGTAAGATACAAAAATCTTAAAGAATCCCCCATAGCTTTTAAGTTTGAGAAACATCGCTTTGGACAAAAGGTCAGCACACCATGGCCCACAGACCAATCTGATCTATTCTTCTGTTTTGCAAATAAAGTTTGCTGGGACATAGCCACATTTATTCATTTACATACTTCCTTTGACTGCTTCCACATTCCAATGACTGAGCTGAATACTTGAAACAGAAACTGTATATGACTACCAAAGCCTAAAATTCTTACTACCTGGCCCTAAACCAAAAAGTTTTTCAACCATCACTTATAGATCAGGAAAAGCTTTTGGGTGCTTTTAAAAGTAACAAAAACACTATGAGCTCAATTCTGGAAAGATTGATATTTTGAAAATAATTATATCAATCAAGTACTGAGGTTCTAAGAATCTGATGTAAGAAAATGACAAAAAAAACTGGAAATGAAGAAATGTCAGAGTCACTGCCAAATACAACATGGATGGGGACAAAAGAACAACAGGTCACCTGTTACCAAGCAAATTCTGAATATTTAGTCAAGTTTCTTTTCCGGGTATTAGAATTTTGTTCAACCCGACATCCTTGTTAAAAATCAAGATCTATACATGTCAGGCAATTCTTAGCTGTGTTCTTACCATCTTAGTCCCTGACTTTGCAAATTATTTTATGATATATAGCTGTTCTTTTCTTCTGATTTGTCTCCCAAACTACTCAATTAATATTAGGGACTTCACAAACCAAATATCTTTCTATTCCTAGCACATGTCCCAGTGTCCAGAAGGTATTAGAGACCCCCAAACCTTTTGTGGGCACTGTTGATGATGACATTAACTTGAAATTAATGGTTTGGATTTCATTCAAATGGTAGTCCCTGAACCTGATTTCACAATTCATAATTTCTACATAGAACGGTAAACATGAAAAAGAAAGTGTACCTCACTGCAGGCAATGTATTATTTGACTTATGCAATGTGTCTTCTGTGATAGATAAAAGGCTTCAAAAGTATACTTACTTCATTTTCCAAAAAAAACTACTGGGCAATCATGAAAAAAAATTACTGCATGAAAAAATTGGCCAAAATGGTATTAGATGCTATGTTGAAAAAAATCTTTACTATTTTCCCTGGTTAATAACTTTACAAGTCTTTTTAGAGAAACAATGCTTTAAAAATACCAAAATGATGTGGAAGACTAGTTAAAATAAAATTAAGAGCCTTAGTGTGTGTGCTATTACATAGCCAAAGTACTTCTATTTTAGAAAGATGGATAATTTTCCTGGAATTTGGCGTTTTCAACAACTGGTGGTTAGCTACATATTTCAAATACATTTGGAATGAATGAGATCACTGAAGTGACGCTCTCCACTTTCATTCAAGTCACCACTTACCCTTGCAGAAACAGATCCCTTAGTAATGGGCTCTTAACTAAGCGTCATATAACCTCTTTTTTAGTCTGAGGATGTTACAAATGATGCAGTTCAACAAAAATGTATTGAGAATTGCTATGTGCTACAGATAAGAAGGTGAATGAGACATGGTCTTAATCCCAAGGAATTTTAAATTTAACAGAAGAAAATCTCTCTGTTGATCACACCCTTGCTGTGGTACTCACGGATAAATGTGCTTGGGAATACTAAGAATCAGTATGAATGCATGTATATAACTACATATTCACATCAACAGGAAGAGGAAAGAAAATGTTACTCAGCTAGAATTCTAACAAAGAAATGTTGGTCCTCTAGTTTAATAATAATTCTAATTAATCCTTATTAAGCAATCACTGAACAAAATATTGTACATATAGAAGCTCTACACATATTATGTCATCTAAGCCTCCCAATTCTGAGGAGAAAATGTAGTGATTCCTTTTTTACAGAAAGAGAAACAAAGAAGAAACCATCTTTGTGGAACTCACCCAGGCGGCAATTGACAAAGACCCAATCAGATCTCTCTGATCTCCAAGCTATATTTAACTGTACCTCCATAGCTCACCATATAATCGGAGACCAGTAGAACAGGTTTTAGGAAAGAACTAGCTCCCTGAGACTTTCCCTCCAAGTCTGTTCACATCTATAAACTCCTTCCCAGATCTGTGTACCCTGCTGGTCTCTTCCAGACACATTTGTAACCTAAAATGCCCCTTCTGGAAACGCAGAATACAAACACCTAGCAGATATCTGACTGTTTCCTTTCCTCTGTCCTCCGCCATTAAAAAAAAAAAAATTAGTCTCGCATATTCCTTTGCACTGGAGACTTCTAATCTTCTCTCTCTTTCATACTTGGTTCTCAAATGAATCAGCACACCCCCCTCTCCAAATCAGCAGTGTCCTGGTAAATTAGACAAAGTACTGGATGTGAGAATCCCACAGCTGAGCTCCTATATTGAAATTTACTGAAGCGAAAACCATAAGCCAGATTGGCTTCTGGAGGGGCCACCTTCACCCTGAGTCTTGCCCCAGATCACTGCAGACCAGGCCCTACCTGCTCTGATGTATACCTGCATAGCCTTCTAAGTCATTATTCTACAACTGTGCCTTACCCTGCAGAGTTTGAGTTTTCCCAGGCTTTCCTTTCACTCTAAGAAGAGGCTCCAAAGGTTTTTACTGCTCTTTGCCAACCCATAATTTTTGGACACAACCAGAAAATCCTTGATAAATGTCTCCCATTTGTAAAGAATGAATGAGCCACTTTCAGATTTTCCTGTTTCTCTTTTGTAATCTCCCCTGCTAAATGAAATTTTCAATCAATTCACTATCCTCAGATCTATAAATCTCTATAATTGACATAACTTTGGACACTTTAATATATTGTCATCACAATATGTTCCATAGATAGGGAACTATTTTTTCAAACGAAAGTACCTTTTGTGTGTAAACAACAACAACAACAACAAAAAAACCCAAGGCATTCCTCTATGATGATAAAAGTTCTTACATTTTTCATTTCTTTGAAGAATGGAATTCTAGAACGTAAAAGTTGAGCTGTAAAAGAAGAATCTCTTCTAATTGAAAACTCCTCATATTCAGCTTTGTGTGTGGCATGATATGGACTTATTCGTATAAGGAGGAGGTATTATGGGAACATCTATAAAAACATGTATAAAGGCATCAAAATCCCAAATCTCCAGGGTTTAGTTTAAGATGAAATTCAAGTGGGACATGCTGAGCAACCTCCAAACAAGAACACTAGTGGATTCCTGGAAATATTTCTATCAGCTCATCATAATAAATTTCACAGTAAAAACCTAAGGAAACATCTATGAGGTCATGAAATTTCCCTGGGAAGTTGAGATTTGTCACAGGGTTTTGCTGATGGCAGCGATTTCCTGACTTCTGCTGTTAGCAAAAACCTTGCAAGGGCTGCTAGCGTCAGCTTCCGGAGCACTTTTGAACAAACATTGCCCAGAGCTCTCTTTTATGCAGCTTCTTCAGTTGTGACTTTTCATGTCACCACATCAATCACTGTATCGAAAATTCTATTCATCTTTTACCCAGTAAACCCATTCCCAAAGTGTCTTTTCTTAGAGTATGAATATGTGAATAGGCGCACAAGACAGTCTTCTTGTCCACCAGACCCAGTATAATTAAATGATAGTTTAGGGCAGACTACACTAACCATTATCTCTTCAGAATTGGTTGCATCATTTAAAATATAATTACATGTTCAGTTACATCATATGTATCATCCTTCATTCTGCTGATTTAACTTTCAAGGATTCTCAGATGTGAATTCTGCAAAGGAGTCTGAATTTCTGAATTCCATTCTTTTATTCATTCAAAAGTTGTGAACATTTCTTATTTCATCATAATTTTTATTTTTCATAACCACTTTATTTGGAAGAAAGTATAAATTTTCACTTAATGGATTTCATGTAAGAAGTTCAAAACTCCAAAATTCGATTGCAATTTAAAGTCACAGGCTCAAAAGACCTATGTACCTGATTATGCCAAAAGGTAAAATTAATAATATGTCAAAAATACCTAATGCAGTAGTAAGTAAAATTTTTTCAATTTGCAACGTGAATCGCAAAACTCCTAAACTTTATTCCACTGTGTGATTTGTTTACCATGGCTTTTCACTGTATGAAACAGTTTTGGAGTTTTTTCTTTTTTCTTTTCTTTTCTGTTTTAGATGCTGGATTACGAACAAGCACCTAATGTTCATCTTAGTATTGGAGTTAAAAACCAAGCTGATTTTCACCACTCAGTGGCTTCTCAATTTCGAATGCAGTCAACCCCTGTGAGAATTCAGGTTGTTAATGTGAGAGAAGGACCCATATTTCATCCAAGTTCTATGACTTTCAGTGTGCGGGAAGCAAAAACTGGAGATTCCTTATCGAACTATGTGCTTGGCACATATACAGCCATAGACCTGGACACAGGAAATCCTGCTACAAATGTCAGGTACTGCAAAGACTTTGTTCACATCAGTGTGGCCTGGTTCTGGCCAGTGTTAATTGATGTAGTACATGCTAGTCTATGTAGGCTGTAATACTTCTGGAGTTCTGTTTTGCTTTGTTTCTTTCTTTCTTTGCTTGCTTGCTTGTTTGTTTTAGAAGACTGTTACAGCATTTGAAATCTCTTAGAATTTTAATAGTGCTTTAGAAGCTGTCAGGGCTCCAGTTGGTTATAAGAGTATTGTGTCCAGGGAACAACTGTCAGATCAAAAGCCACTTAATGATCCTGTGAATCTCTTTGATCTTTTGTGACCAATTGCACTATCTTGGCCCCAGACTGATTAAGCTATATTGGATACAATAAGATGTAATAAAAAAAAATGAGTCATTGCTTTTTTCCTTTAAACCTGTGTTATCTGTGACTCTGGGAATAATCAACCCTGTGCTTAACTTGAGAAGAAAAAGCAATGGAGGAATTTAAAACAACGGTGTTTCAGAAATTTGATAAATGTAAAAACAATCAGAACAAGAGAAACAGAAAAACAGGTATTAGGGGCCCTAGATATGTAGATTGTTAGTGAATTAGAACTGTAACAGGGGGCCAGCGCAGAAGCGTAGCAAGTAAAGCCACCGCCTGCAATGCTGGCATCCCATATGGGTGCCAGTTCGAGCCCCGGCTACTCCACTTCCCAACTAGCTCTCTGCTGTGGTCTGGGAAAGCAGTAGAAGAGGGCCCACGTCCCTGGGCACTCCCTGCATCCATGTGGGAGACCCAGGAAAAGCTGCTAGCTCATAGTTTTAGATCTGCCCAGCTCCGGCCATCGTGGCCATCTGGGGAGTGAGCCAGCAGATGGAAGACCTCTTTGCCTCTCTGTAATTCAGACATTCAAGTAAATACATAATTTTTTTTTTTATTTTTGACAGGCAGAGTGGAAAGTGAGAGAGAGAGAGACAGAGAGGAGACAGGTCTTCCTTTTACCGTTGGTTCACCCTCCAATGGCCGCTGTGGCCGGTGCGCTGCGGCCGGCGCACCACGCTGATCCAAAGCTGGGAGCCAGGTGCTTCTCCTGGTCTCCCATGCGGGTGCAGGGCCCAAGGACTTGGGCCATCCTCCACTGCACTCCCAGGCCACAGCAGAGAACTGGACAGGATGAGGAGCAACCGGGACAGAATCCAGCACCCTGACCGGGACTAGAACCTGGTGTGCCGGCACTGCAAGGCAGAGGATTAGCTTATTGAGCCATGGCACCAGCCCAATAAATCTTTAAAAAAAAAAAAAAAAAAAAGAACTATATCAGATATTTAGAAAATAGCTGCATGGAAATATATAGGTCTTCTCTATTTTCCTTCTCTCTTCCTTTCTCTGCCTGCCCCCACCCCCCCATATTTTTTGGAATATACAAAGTCTATCCACTTATACATTACTCTGATGTTTAACAGTTAATTATTGAATCAGAAAACAAGTTGACAAACTCTACAGAAAACAGTAAGTCTGTTAGTATAAGGTAGATAAATAAAGGATATCAGATAAACAGAGGACTGAAATTTTGCCTGGTAAAGAGAAGGAAACCTAGTTCCAACCAGAGCGAGTAGGTTGAATGCATTATCTATAACAGAGAGACAAGTTAGAGGATAGTACCTGCAAGGCCAACAATGAGGGACTCTGAAACCAATGTGGCTTAAACATACATTTGTCAATGTCAAATGAAAACCGATGTTTGTTTTTGAAAACAAAGGGTATGTTATTTTATTATGATTTAATAAATTTACCCGAGAGAAACTCATACATTTTTTAACAATCATACCAATAGCTAAAAGAGTAAGAATGATTTTTTTTTTTTTTTTGAGCAAAGTAAGATTTATTTAAGACAGAAACCTGTTGCAGCAGTCAGGAGTGGGGCTCCAAGAGAGGCAGAGCCGAGAAACCGTGACAGTCCAATCATTTAAGCATGATTTTTGGGGAAAAAAAAAAAAGAACAGCAGCTCACAATCAGTTGGAGGGCGGGGACAAAACCCATCCAAAGGCCAGATTTGTAATCCTGCCTGTCCGGTCTAGCTTGCTGGTGATAAAACAAACAAACAAATATCAGAAGGGTAGGATCCGTGCCATCTTTCTGTTTTCAAGATAAAGTGAAAACTCAAAAGGGCGGAATTCCTGCTTCCTTGCTCTTCTCAGTATAAAACTGGAAACTCCAAGGGAGTGGGTGGACACTTTCATCTTGCTAAAGGTAGCTTTTTTGGGGGAAGCAAGCATTTTGTACCAACTTAAACAGACTTCCCTGTCCCTTATGCTGACGGGGCTGACCTAACTGCCTACTAGTCCATCTGTTTCCTCACATTCCCTCCCCCAGAAGAATGGACCCTGTGCATGAACATACTTAATACTGGAGTTTTGCTGGATATATACCGATTAGAAACAAAGATGGTTATCACTATAAAGTAGAAAAATATAACACGTAGGGACCAGCACTGTGGCATAGCAGGTTAAGCCGCCGCCTGCTGCGCCAGCATCCCATATGATTTCCGATTCGAGTCCTCACTGCTCCACTTCCAATCCAGCTCCCTGCTAATGGCCTGGGAAAGCAGCAAAAAATGCCCCAAGTGCTTGGGCCCCTGCACCCATGTGGGAGTCCCAGAGGAAGCTCCTGCCTCCTGGCTTCAGCCTGGCCTAGCTCCGGCCATTGTGGCCATTTGGGAAGTGAACCAGTGGATGGAAGATCATTCTCTGTCTTGTCACTCCCTCTCTCTATATAACTCTGTCTTTCAAATAAATAAATAAATCTTTAAAACAAAACACATAAATTTATCACATTGTAGCTTTCTATATGACTTAAAAGTATTAACTTTTATGATTACAAAGTTATTTATTCAAAAACAGGTATATCATAGGGCACGATGCAGGCAACTGGTTAAAAATTGATTCAAGGACTGGTGAGATACAGTTTTCCAGGGAATTTGATAAGAAGTCAAAATATATTACCAATGGGATATACACAGCAGAGGTCCTGGCTATAGATGGTAAGAAAATGTATTTTTAATCTCTTAATAATATTAATACTATTATATTAAGTATTATAAACCTTACTGTAATGCTGACATTTGAGTTATTTTGTGATATATGTAATTCTTATGGAAAGTACTAAACACCTTGACAGAGAAATGAATTCATTTACTCTTCTAATTATAATTTATACTCAAATCATGACTGAAATTACCTAATTCCAAATAAAGAATATTATGTGATTTACAGAAAAAAAACATAAAACTAAAAATAGGAATAAATAAAATTCAGTCTCTGTTTATGACTGCTTCTCTTGAGTTAGGCTAAAACCACTTGCAGAACACGTTAGAAATGTCTACCCAATAAGGGCTGAAGCTGTGCACAAAATTCACTTTGGGATCAACTGGAGGTGGGGTGCAGTATCCCCAACAGTTATTTTACAGGCACTAAATCTGAGCTACATTGAGAGGCCTGTGTTTTGTTTCACTAGACATGTTAACAAAATTCTGTGGACCAAGAAACACAATTATTTCAAATATAAGACCCAAAATCAAAAGTTGTAGGCACAAGTGCATTGAATTAATTTGTAGTTCAGCTGCTTTTCACTTGAGAAAATGTATTACTCATTCCTCTTGGTAAATGGCAACAGGAATTTGTTTATTTATCAATAGTTAATGATTCTCTGTAGCAGTGCCTAGGAAACCAGCTGCTACAGGACAAAACAGAGAAAGGTCAATAACCAGGAAAGAAGGAGAAAGACAAGTGCTCCAGATGCATGCCTCGTGCAACGTACATACTGTAGGTTTTCATTCCATTTGTATCTGACCATTAGAGTTGTCAAATACAGAGAAAGATATGTGACCAGGGTAATATCTGAAAGGAAGAATAAAGCATGAACAATTCGGTCCATACACTCCTGCATTCATCTAGCAGAATCACTTTTAACATCTGGGTCAGTTATATTGTCATATTTATCATCAGTGTTTTGGAAGGTCTGTTTCTAAAATTCAATCTAACCACGTTGATAGCACTCTATCTTTGCATATTATATGGTCATGTGTGAAAATTTTCAAAAACTGGAGTAAAAAATTAATCATTCAAGGTGAATAAAGAGACAAAAGTGTTATCAAAAGTGTTAGCAAAATAAGACTAAAAACCAGGTTCAGGTGTTTGATCACCTCCAAATGGCTCTGTTGTTCCAGCGACCAAAGTCACTAGGGGCAGAGGCAGAGCGCTACAGACCGCAAACTCCAGTGGGGTATGCATGCTGTAAGCTAGAGATTGAGCTGTGTTTGCCACATCATGAGGCAAGACAAAAGCTAGAAGGGATCAGAGAATGGCAGTACAACGATCTGTGAGGTAATCTGATGTCTCTGTAATGAGGGACTAAGTTAAAGAGACTTAGGAGTCTAGAAAATGCAATGACAGACAGGGTATAAGAACAAACTGCACAAAATCATGTAGAACATGGAGAAGCTCTCAGTTATCATTCAATTAGCCTAGTGACTCCACCACCTGGGCAAACAGGAAATATTTTTAAAATAAGTTTATTAACTTCTCAGAAATGATCCAGTAAAGTACCCTAGAGATGATAATATTCTAATTCACAAATGAGAAAACTAAACCTCCTTGCAAGGTTTAAAAAAAAAATTTATTCACTATAACAGAGCACAGAGTAGAAAAGTGAACTAAAATTCTGAACTACTAATTCTTAGTCTTCTCCCCTTTCTAATAAATTACACAAATCAGAAATTTGTTTCAAATGGGTTAAGTGGAAAAAATCTAATAGATTTCTCTTTTTATTTTCAGAAGTGTTATTACAGAGGGAAGTGCCATCTAGGGATGGAATTTAAATTGATAGAATCTTTTTAAATGCAAGTGATCACTTAATTTTAGCTATAGTTATTTCCACAACCACGGGGGTTCAGCAAGCTTCCCGAATGAGAGGCTGTAAACTGGTCTGGGGGTTTCCTTTCTAGGGACAGTGTGGGAAGAGAAAGTAGTAAACCTTTTCTGAGAACAGGCATTCAGTTTTCCAGATGAGGAGAAGTAGGGCTTAGAATGAAGGAGGAGTGAACAGAATGCTCATGAGTCCCAAGTTAGGAATAAACTCTAAGAACTCAAAGAAGCAGTGTGAATGGAACAGAGCATTCAGTGTAACACTGACATGTGCAGAAACCTCACACCTTGGAGTCGTTGCTGCTGTTCCTATATGCCATGGCGTCTCCATGGGATATAGAGAAAGAGTTTTCTCCCTGACGTCACTTATCCCAATGCCATGGTGCTTAACCTTTCAGATGGTTCTGGGAAAACTGCTACAGGAACCATATGCATCGAGATTCCTGATGTCAATGATTACTGCCCTGTAATTTTTCCGGAAAGCAGATACGTCTGCACCACTTCTGCATCGGTCATCATTTACGTTAGGGATCATTCTTACGGTTCGCCCTTCACCTTCTGTGTTGTTGATGAGCCGCCAGGAACAGCTGACTTGTGGGATATCAGATCAATAAATGGTAAGTAGGACGTATCCTTGCTCGCACTTCAAGTCCAAAGCAAAGCAGTTGCCAAGTAATTAGTCAAATCATTTAATATTTTCTATTTTTTAGTTTAATGTCTTCATATTAAATGAAAAACTTTCATATATGTAATTAGATTTGAAAAAGGTTCAAACTAAAATAAATCAGAATGTTCTATAAATACAGCAATTACAAATAGTAGTATATAATTACCACTTTATCATTTTATGTAGAGGAATACTAAGCCTGTATTTGACTTGTTTTAAAATAAACAGAACCCTTGGCTGACTCAAGGGTTAGCAATGTCCCAATTCCCTGTTCTGAAAATTTTCAGGCAAATCACATAAATGACCCTGAACTTCAGGTATCCTGTTGACACATTTACACATTTTCTACTCAGTAGCTCATAGGATCAACAAAATTGTTTCTATCAAGTGTTACTGGTTTATACTTATTTGTAAGGGTAAAAAATTAAATTCAAATTTCCCAATATTAAAGGAGTAGCAAACTACTTCTAATATGTGGTTCCATACAACCATTTGGAAAAAAGGGGGAATACTTAGATACAAAGGAATCCATAAACCAAGGAACATAAAGAGAAAAACAGATCCCAAGATCTTAAAATAATATGTTGTGTACTGGCCGTAGCTACAAAAAAATAAACACCTGACATTGATTTTTAAAAAAGAAAAAACCAGGAAACAATATTTTATCCAGCTTGGGTTCCTTTCCCTAAAATGTTAAATGTGTAATAGAAAATGAAATGGTATGAGAGGATTCCATTTGGCCTGAAATAGCTCCTAATTCAATATGCATTTGGGACAATGAGAAGGACATCTTGGGAGTACTGGAGTGGAGGGTTCAAGCTGGGAGGAAATACTTTCCACTGCTCTTAGGCCTCCATGCTTTTCTGTTGATAGAATGGAGAAAGTCTAAAATAATACTGTGAAAATATTACCAATTACTGGTTTTTCCTGCCAAATATTTTAACTCTTTTCAACACAACCACTTTGATATATTAAAAAGCTAAGTACATTATAGCAATTCAATTAAAATCAAGACAACTCTGAATCTACCTTCTATAAATCTGAATATCTCATTGTTATATGATAATTGCTGACTATCTGTTCCCTCACACGGATCCTAGATGTCACCAGTAAAAATGTAAGGAAATGAACTCTACAAGGAGTTTAGCAGAGACCCTCAAATGATATTATAGATTTGTTAGTAAAAATATATAACAACACTGGACACAATACTCCTAGAACCCTGTTTCAACATGAATGGTGAAAAACAGAATGAGTTTCGTCTAACATGCTGTAACATTGCCTTTCCAATTATTATTTTGTACACAGGCTAGATTTTGGTAGATATAACTAGTTTTTCATTCAACTGACTGAAAGTAATAAGCCATAAAAACTAGTTTTATGGGTTAATCATGGTTTAGGTGTAAATTGAATCATCTCTGGATCTTTTTTGGGTTGATAAACAAATTCCAATCAAAGTTTTAAGCAATATTTTTCCATAAAAAATCCAGAAGTAATGGCAGAGATAAGAATTAGAAGAATATTAATTACCAGAATAATTTTATTTGAAGGGACAAGATTTTGAATAAGAGATAAATGATTCCTATGGAGGATACTTTGTAAACTATAATCCTACATAGAAGACTTTCAATATTTTCTTTGATTTCTATGTTATTGTTTCTTTGAACAAATATTTCTTTATCATACATTATTTGTCAAGAACTCTTGCTCTAGGAATAAACACCAGGGTCCCCACTGGCCTTGTAGAAACAACAATCCTGCAGGAAGTAGTACTGAATAACTAATTATGAATTTTCAAAAGAACAAAGTAGCATCACATAGTATAAAAAGGACAAGGTGCTGTGTGTCTGCAAGCATGAAAAAATCAAGTTTTACGTTAGCTTAGATATTACAAAGTGCTACCCTCGGGGATTTTAGCTTATTTTGTTCCCTCTCTTCCTTTGAGGTACCTCTGCGATCCTTACCACTGAGCAGTTTTTATCTCCAGGACCTTTCCAAATCCCAATCCTGGTTAAGGACAGCTTTAACCGAGCGTGTGAATTGCCGCAGTACATACAGTTGCAGGCCTGCGATTGTGATGACAACCTGTGTGTGCTCTCTAGCACCACAGGCATCTACACTGAGGACATCAGCTTAGTCACCAACGATATGGATGGGTCTGACTCTGATGACCGGATAGGGGCTTCCAACGTTGGTATGGGACCAGCGGGAATTGGCATGATGGCTGTGGGCGCCTTACTACTGCTGTGTGAGTACTGTATTAAATCATTCTTCTCTTCAAAACAGGACTGTCACCAGGCTCACTGGGATGGCTCAGATCATTTGGCTATTTCTTTTTGGTGTTTTTGCAATTGTTGAGTGACCTTGAAAATAAACAATGGGACTGGTAAAGGAATGTACCTATTCAATAATGATGAGAGTCTCTAGGGGTAGTGAGACAACTAAACATGGGAAACGCATGCACATCAGTGAGTATAATATAGAAAAGCATTAAATAAATCCTATAATGGACAATTTATTAAGTATTTTACGAGTAGAGAGGCATAGAGCCAGTCTTGTGGTATTACTGGTAGAGCTACTGCCTGCGTCACTAGCTTCCCATATAGGCACCGGTTCAAGTCCAGGCTGCTCCATTTCCAATCTAGCCCTCTGCTAATGGCTTGGGAAAAGCAGCAGAAGATGGTCCAAGTACTTGGGCCCCTGGTACACATGTGTGAAACCTAGATGAATCTCCTGGCTCCTGGCTCCTGGCTTTGGCCTGGTCCTATCCTGGCAGCCATCTTGAGGGAGAACCAGCAGATGGAAGACTTCTCTCTGTCCCTCTCTCTCTCTATCTCTCTCACCTTCTCTCTCTATCTCTTTCACCATAAACAAATAAATCTTTTTTAAAAAAATAAGAGTAAAGAGGCAGAGCAATTAAGTCTAAGTAGGGAGGTTAGGAAACTCTTTCTGAAGAAAGTAGACATAGACCTGGGCCTGGGATGCTAAGGATTTTCTCAGAAATAAAATGGGATGGGGAGGAATCCAAAAGACAGTCTAGGACAAAGGAACAGCACAAACAGAGAAAAGCTGTGGAGGAGTATAGCACTCTGAGGAAGCAGAGAGGCTGAGAGGTAAGCTGGGAGCCAGTGTGGAGAAACGTCCATGATACCCCAGATGTTCTGGGTTTCACTCCACAAACAGTGAGAAGTCAGTGAGGAATTGGAGCTCAGGTGACCTACACATGTTGCTGTAGTAGGAAGCAGAAGAATCTAGAAGAGAAAATTAGCTTCCAGGCTTTGGATGAACATCTGAAGACAGTGGGCACAGGAATGGCAAGGTCCCCAAGCAAGTCTCAAGACAGGATCCTCCTTTCACTGTATCTTTTTTTAAAAAGATCCTCAGATGACAGTAATACCTTTCAGGTTGCCTTCGCAATAGTTAGATTTCATAAAGCTCAAACACTGAGTTCTAAAACTAAGAAGAATTAAACGACATTGTTAATATATATGAACACAAATTATGACTTCATCATTTCAAGGTACAAAAAAAACTGGCTGCTGAGAAGGTTTCTTTCTTAAAATAATTTGTGAGTTTTCAAAGTTATGCAAAACTCATAGCTGATTCATGAAATGATGGTACAGACATTTTCCCACATCATGATTCAAGAGCAACTGAGTGGAGATGTGGGGTGACCTTTAAGTCAGTGGCTTCTAATCCTAACTGTACATAGGAATCACTCAGAGATCTTTTAAAAATTACTCATTCAAGAGCCCTGTGCAAGGTGAGACCCAAGCATCAGCACATTTAAGCCCTCCATGAACCTAATATGTAGTTCCAGATTGAAAACTCGGTATCAACATATCATTCTTATATGTCAACTAAAAAAAGAATAAAAGTATATGTTTCGGCAGAAGCAGTATCAGCTGCATTTTTAGAGCTAAGAATTCCATCACTCTTCTTGACCCACAGAAAGAAAACACAAGAGTTGTTACACTGATCGTAGAATAGGAGAAGAATGCCTCTCTGGGCTCATTTTTAATGGAGAAGTCCATGGTTTATTTTGAGGGACAGGGAAAGTATAATGCTGAGTGGGAGGGGTCTTGACCCAAGCCTTATATACCATAAGAGATACCAATCAAGACTTTTTGTGTTATCTCTGCTCCAAATGAGATTATACTGACAGTGATTCTCTTTGGTATGTACTAAAAGCCTTTCATTTTAATTATTATATAGTATCTTTGTTATCTGGAGTTCATGACCACAGTGTTACATGATCCAGCCCACATCTAAGTTCCCAAAAACATAGCACAGTTGGAGCAGCTGTACCACACCAGAAGCTGCCATTCTTGTTTGAGTTCTTTCCCAGAAGACTCTCTGGAAATATCAAATTTGACCTTCCACTGCTCATGGTACAGATGCCAAAATTGCCAAATTAACTGTTTTAATGAAATCACTAAGAGACTTGTTTTATCACCTTAGATACTCTCTTTTGTACCTTTAATTAACTCATTCAGTGAAAGGCATGCTGTGCTAGGGAATTAGGAAAGTATAAAAAACAACTAGAGTGGACCCAAAGAATTAAATTGATTTTATTCTAAAATGTTAGAAAACTTCAAACATGTCACTATTTATGATCTAAATTATAGAGCTGAGGTAATTTTTAGGATATTTAATGGAAATTTTCCTGTTACCAGAAATATTTGGATAGTTGAAATGTTGTGAAATCTTTAATTTTCCATTTTGTGGGCAAGCCTTAAAATAATAAATGTAAATAGTTTAGTTAAATTTAGTGGATGATGTCCAATTGCTTTATTTTTAGTGTAAGCATAATAGGGGATTCTCTCTCTAGGTTCTATAATTAATCTTATAGCAAATCCTCTTAATAATATATGTTGAAGATATATTTACTTACATGTATGTATATTATGTATATAGATGTATTTACTTACATATGTGTATATTGTATATGTGTATTTGTATAAATGGGTGTATATGTGGGTGTGAGATGGTCTATGTGTATTCATATACATATCCATATACCCATACATGTACACCTGCACATGGAGATAAAGATCTATATTTCTATTTATGCATGCATATATTTATATACACAGGCTTAGAAATATAGATAACATATGGAAATAGTTATATCTCTACATAAATCTATAACATACACATATACAGATTCACATGCATGTACATGAGAGACCAGGAATTGGAAAATCAAATTTGAATGCTGGATCTACCACTAGTGAGAATTGGACTTTATTTTTCTAATCTGTCAGTGATGAACTTGACTTCCGTGATCTCAAACTTCCTCCCTTAGAGCTGTAGAGTTCTACATGATTTGGTGGGTTTGTATCTATAAACCTGGCTATGTAAGCAAGATCTTCAGGGAAAAAAAAATTTATGTTTTTACACTTGTCTTTTTCCCTTTGATTTGAAATATAATGTCACCAAAAATGACACATTCAACGACTTCCCAAACCATGCAATATGTATTCATTCTTCCCTGTCACTGGGACAGGTTCACCGCTCTTGCTGCTTATGTGTTGCTGCAAACGAAGGCAGCCGGGAGGGCTGGGGACGCAGTTTGCTCCTGTGCCGGAGGGAGGAGAAGGCGTGATGCAGTCTTGGAGAATAGAAGGGGCGCATCCCGAGGACAGGGTGAGTAGACCGTTGCTTGCCAGAGAAGCTGGAGAGTCAGTGGGAATTGAGCCTACTTGACACTAACACGCAAAAGTGAAGCAATACTAATTTAAAATGTTTTAACACAAAGTGTTTATTTTACATGTTTTCTTTCTCTTTCCAGGATGTGTCAAATATATGTGTTCCCATGACAGCCTCTAACACCCAGGATCGCATTGATTCTTCTGGTCAGTCAACACCAAAATCTACTTTTCAGTTTAAAACCTACAAACTTATTCAGCCAGACCAACCTCATGTAAAAGTACCCTACAGATGGGGACCACACCTGTCATAGCCCAGGATGAGAGCATGATCAGAGGAAAAGTAACATGCTTGATATGGTTATTTGAGTTTTCTGTCTTAAACTACAGGCATTGAAACAATGCAATCATGAAAAGGGAAAACTCTGGAAACACAATACTTGGGTTTATTCTCAGATCAGCCAAACACTAGTTGTAATAAGTCCTTAGGCAAGACACCTAACCTTTCTGGGCCTGTATCCTTATCATAAAAATTGTTTCAAATTGAGTTTGAACAACTAATTCAAAGTGTTGTGGTAAGGAATAAATGAGTATACATACATATAGACACATATTAAGTAAATATTATATGTATACACACACCACCACACACACATGAGAATAGTGCCTGGCAACTGTAGCCAGCTACTTACAATATAAGCCAGTTTTCAAGAACATCAAGAAGAGTAGCAAATTAATTCTTCTTACTAAATACTACAAAACTTTTCTTACATTCACAATGCTTTGGCCCCATCAGTGTCTTATACTTTCCCGACTCAGCAGACCCACACACAAAATACTGAGTATGAAATGATTGAACCACGTTGAGCAGCTGCCCGATTCTAGAGCAAGCATGGGAATATTTTATGATGATTGTCCTTTCCCAGTTTCCCAGAATGCACTCTGCTATGGGGAGGGGGTGGTGGGGTGCTGCTGGCGAGGAAGGCAATTCAATTCAAGCGGTGTTGTGAGAATGCCCTCTCTTTTCAGAGATTTACAACAACACCTATGCAGGTGGAGGAACAGTTGAAGGGGGAGTATCAGGAGTGGAACTCAATACAGGTCTTGGGACAGCTGCTGGCCTGGTGGCTGGAGGGGCAGTGGGCACCACAAGGAAAAGGAGCTCCACCATGGGAACTCTGCGGGAATATGCAGACACTGGCGTGAACATGGCTTTTCTGGACAGCTACTTCACAGAGGTAATTCTCCTTACACACGATCACATGTAAAAGAGTCTCTAAACAGAATATCATAATTATGATGGAAATACTAGGGGAAATGGCAGTAAGCATCTTCTGAAATATATTTCATTCTCCACCCTATCCCAATTTTGAGTTTAAAATAGTTCCCTTCTCCTTAAAATGCATAATGCCAATTTGCAGTAGTATTTCATTTTCAATTGCTACCACACATTTTAATGCTGTCAAAAGGCTAGCCTCTCTCAGCATTTTCCACATCCCTTCTTTCATTTTTCTGTCTTCTGTTCCTTCTGAATTCTTACTTTGTTTCCCATAGCACCAGCAAAGCAGGAAAATGCTGATCAAGGGGGAAAAATGTACATTCACATCCTCTCTTTTTGAGGTCTTTCATACTCTCCAGGTACTTCCAATAGAAAGGAGAAACAATAAATTAAAAGACAAAACTAGGAGTGTAGGGGGTTAAAACTCAGGAACACAGCATTATCACAAGTTTCTGACAATAGGTCTCCTATTGTCGGTCCTGTTGCTCATCTGCTAAGTGACCCCGCTAACAAAATGGACCATGGGTCTATGTCTTTCAAAAAAGAATGCCATGGAGGCACTAGGTTGGCCCAATAGAGTGGCATGAAGAGGAACTTTTGTGAATTCCTATTTAGTAAGTTTACTTTGCTTAATTACTAATAGAATTTAGAGTCTGGTACAGACCAGAGAGAAAGTAGCATTATGTATTATGCGGTATCAAAGGGACAACTGGATTAATTTTTATTCTACAACTCTCTGAGTCTTGGGTATGCCAATGTTCCCTCTCTGGGCCTTTAGTTTATTTAAAAATAAGGAAGGAAGGGGTCAGACTATATTCAGTGATTTCCAATGGTGCTATTCAGGCCCTAGGGGGTTCCAAGGACCAACCCCTTCCTGGGTCATAGCAGGTGAGAGAAAAAGGAAGACTGCTTCCAGGGCTCTGAGCACAACCCCCTGCCAACCACCAACCCCTTCAATCAGGGGGAGTCTACTTTCACCTGTTCTACATGTTGGGCTGCTACTCACTGTTTTACTTTAAAGGTCTCTCTTCAAAACAATGATTTGAAAATCATGGTAAATAAGCTCTTAGTGCCATCCTTCTGTTAAAACCAACTGCAACGGCTGCCTTTGCACGTGCCACAAAAAACCTCACTGAACTTTCTGGCACAGCTTGTGAAGCTTAGCGATACTTTTATCTTTACCCCTGCTTTGATTCCAAGTTGCTCTCTCCTTCAATAAATATTTTGAACATCACTAAATACATTGTGTTATTTCTGGGTCACCTCAGAAACAAAAGAGTATAATTCCAAAAGACTTAAGTATTAACTTTGATGCAGATTCTGAACAAAATGTAGACATTCCCATTTACTGGCTTTCAAAGAAGAGAAATTCCATTTATTCTTCTAATTCTATGTATCATGATTCACTCTGGTCTAAAAGTTGATTGCACAGAATCTTTAATCAGAAGTCTCTGAAGCGTTGCTTTTATTCTTCTTTAATTATTTTAACAGAAAAGGAACTTCTAATGTTCTGTTTTTCCTCTAATTTTAGAAAGCATATGCCTATGCGGATGAAGATGAAGGTCGGCCTGCAAATGACTGCTTGCTCATTTATGACCATGAAGGAGTAGGCTCTCCTGTAGGCTCTATTGGTTGTTGCAGTTGGATTGTGGATGACTTAGATGAAAGCTACATAGAAACCTTAGATCCAAAATTTAGGACTCTTGCTGAGATCTGCTTAGATACAGAAATTGAACCCTTTCCTTCCCATCAGGCCTGCATACCTATCAGTACTGACCTTCCTTTGCTTGGACCAAATTATTTTGTTAATGAATCTTCAGGAATGAGTCTCTCAGAGGCTGAATTCCAAGCAGAAATGGCAGCATCTGAACCCGTGATTCACGGGGACATCATAGTGACTGAGACTTACACTACTGCTGATCCATGTGTACAACCCACTACAATTGTCTTTGATCCTCAGCTTGCACCCAACGTGGTAGTAACTGAAACAGTAATGGCACCTGTGTATGATGTCCAAGGGAATATCTGCGTACCTGCTGAGTTAGCCAACACACACAATGTGTACTATGCTGAGAGGGTATTATCTAGTCCTGGTGTGACCGATGTGAGCAGTAATAGCGTGGCTGAGGATTGTATGAGACCTGTAATGAGTGGCAGTATTTTGGTAGGGCCAGAAATTCAAGTGACACGAGTGGTGAGTCCAGACATTCACATTAGCCAAACCCTTGGCTCCACATCTCCAATGACATCGCGACACAGAGTAACACGCTACAGTAACATACATTACTCCCAACAGTAAGTGCTTTATGGTCAATATTCTGTATTAAGACCTTGTACCTTATAATCATTGATAAATCACTCAAAGATGTATAATGTACTATAATTGACATTCTAGCAGTCAACCTTGTTCAACTATTCTAAGTTCAATGTTGCTCATTTTGTGGGTAAATATGCTAAGCACTTTAGATTGAGGTTTTAAGTAATGCTCAAAAAACTTGAAGAAAATGTTTTGTATCCTTTAATATCTTATAAATCGCACATAATTCACTTGGCAATTCCTACAGGTCTCTAGACTTGTAGAAAGAGTTGCATAAACCAAGATGCTCTTGTTCTTGAAAGTAAAAAAAAAAAAGTTTTGTCTGCATCTACCAGCTATGTCTTTCTTTAAAGAAATACTTCTTTTTTTTTTTAAGGGAAAGAGTTTATTGGGGAAAACCCAAAAGACTGGAGGGAAGGGGCAAAGAGGGAAAAGAGAGAGAGGAAGAGAGAGAGCCATGTGTTCAGGAACAGGTCCTCTTAAACCTTTGCCAGGGGGCGGGCAGGGAAGTAGGATCAGTGAATCCCATTAGGATGGAGGTAGAGCTGACTCCGGTAGTTGGACCATGGGGTCACCTGGCTTCCAGCCATGGCGGCAGAAGCTAGAGCCTAGGATGGTGTCTGGTGTGGAGATCACGCCATAGAGAAATATTTCTCTTACAACCTTTAATTTAGAAAATAATGAATGAAATGTAAATAAATGAAAAGAAACGGAAAAGGGATGTGGAGTATCTGTCAATAGATGTCTGAAGTCATTTGTCTCTTCAATTTCTCAAGAAAGTTAATATTAAGCAACAGGGATTGTTTAAAATAATAATTTACTAAACTGAATGTATCACTGGAAATGGTTCCTCAAAAGGAAATATATTTATGAATTTTTGTTGCACTTTATTGGGTATATATCATTAACTGTAGATGAATTAAAAATAGTACGAAAGGAACTATGACAACCTCTTGTAGAAATAAAGCTTAAGAAGTATCACTGTTTGTCCCCCTTACAGAGAATTTTTCCCCTACTTTTGCTAATTGTGTCAGAAAAAAAATAGGTGAAATGGGTTTAATCAGCTTCATTGACCTGAATCACAGAGAATTTTGACAATCAAAATTCTCCGAAAGCATTTCTGAAGTTGTTCAGATAGTAAACAGTATTCACTTAGAGAATATTAGGCGTTAAGTGCTCTTCTTTCTTTCCTCTGTGAATCTATAGGTGAAAACAATTTTCTGTATTCATGGAGTTTCTAATTCATGTCCAGACTTAGAACTCTGGGATATGGTTTTTGAGTTCTGACCAAAAGTAACTAACAAAATATTTAAGTCCACTGCAAACTTATGTTTCTATTTCTAATGCTGGTATTTATTTTGAATGAATGCAACAAAAACACATGCAAAGTTTGCTTGATTTTAGCAGACACAAAGCTGGCTTAACAAAAAGATTCAATCAAGGTAGTTTAATTCTGTAAAATATGTAAACTATGTTGTAGTGACTTTAATGTGACTAGAAGTCGTGTAAATGAAATAAGCTTATTCCTTTTGGAAAGAAATGATTGTAGCAATTCCTGCATAATTTTTGTTCCTTTATGAATAAAACTATTGTAGAATTTGAGGTGTTTCTCATAATCTGCCAGTTCCCTTATTTAATAGACAAGAGATCTAGAAATACAGAGGTTAAACAGCTACAACAAGTTATTTAACCAGAAGTGATACAAAACATTGAACTCATTACTCAGATGTCCTGGCCAGTGATAAAGTCTTTGCTATATTCTAATTGGAAGCAAAACTATATCTTTTTAAAAGCAATAGGATTAGAACATTGCAATGTTGGATGATTACTTACATATTCTCTAATATTTTCCAAACTATGTGTATTGTCAACTATTATAACCATTCTTTAACTATTCTCATCAAACTTTCTACTACATTTCACCACTCTGTAACTTGATGAAATCCATGGGATAGCCAAGATGCACGATCATTTTAACAGTCAACAATCAGACACATAGCATGGTGTATACACTCAATTCTGTAGCACATCCCTACGTGGACATTTCTCTCTTAAAATTCACATTCTATTGGGCCAATAATTCTAAGCATTATGAAATAATAGGTTAATAATTAATGTAAAGCATGGGGCCAAAACTGAAAACACTGAGATTTGTGATATGGAGAATAAAACAGTATTAAGTACTTAACTAAGAGATTGAAATTCTAAAAGGAGGTGATACCACTTGTAAAAATAAAGACAAGGGACTGACACTGTGGCACAGCAGGTTAAAGCTTTGGCCTGCAGCACCAGCATCCCATGTGGGCACTGGTTCAAGTCCCAGCTGCTCTGCTTCCAATCCAGCTTCTTGCAAATGTGCCTGGGAAAGCAATGGAAGATGGCTCAAGTGCTTGGGTCTCTGCACCCATGTTGGGGACCTGGAAGAAGTTCCTGGCTCCTGGCTTTGGATCAACCCAACTCCAAACATTGTAGCCATTTGGGGAGTGGAGCAGTAAATGGAAGACCTCTCTCTCTATCTCTGCTCTTTCTGTAACTCTGTCTTTCAAATAAATAACATAAATATTAAAAAAAAAAGGAAGACAACTGAGGCCAGTGCTGTGGCTTAGCAGGTAAAAGCGCTGTGGCTCAGCGGGGTAAACTCACTTCCTATAGTGCACATATCCCATATGGACACCAGTTCAAGTCCTGACTGCTCCATTTCCAATCCAACTCCCTGATAATGCGTCTGGGAAGGCAGCAGAGGGTGAACCAAGTCCTTGGGCCCCTGTAACCACATGGGAGACCCAGATGCAGCTCCTGGCTCCTGAAAGGCCATTGTGGCCATTTGGGGAGTGAACCAGCAGAAGGAAGACATCTCTCTCTCTCTGCCTCTACGTCTCCTTTTCTGTAACCTTGACTTTCAAATAAGATAATAAATCTTTAAAAAAAGAAAAAGGAATACAGCTTTTCTATGCACTTTTTCTTCCTCTATGACTATCTCTTTATCAATATACAAAGACTTGAAGGTGCTTCCAAAAAAGGAAAGCCTGAGGATGCCTTCCTGCAAAACCACATCATTTTCTCTCCCAGCATTATCAGCAGAAGCAACTCTACCATTGTGCCAAGATGGCCATTGTGATTCACATGCATCTCAAGCTTCTGGTGTGTTTTTAAGCATCATTTCAAACAATATAGAAAGCATAAACCAAGATACTGCTTCACTGCTTACGGGTTATTGATTTTTCTAGAAAGTAAAGATATGGCAATTATCTTTTAAAGATTTATTTATTTATTGAAAAGGCAGAGTTACAGAGAGAGAGAGAGAGAGAGAGTCTTCCATCTGCTGGTTCACTCCCCAAATGACTGCAATGGCCAGAGCTGGACAGATCCAAAACTGCAGGCGGCAGCTTTTACCCACTACACCACAGTGCCAGCCCCAGCATTTATCTTAAGGTTTAAAAACCAACCTAGAAACCAAGGAAATGAGATTTAACAAATAACTAGAATACCACATCACTTGAGTCATATTTCCTGCCTCATAGAATTACTTCGGATAGTTTTACTGAATGAATAAATGTCTGCCTCAGAAAGAATAAAAAGGGAGAGAACAATCCAACATGGGAAGTGGGATACACAGCAGACCCATAGAATGGCAGATGTCTTAAACAGCACTCTGGCCTCAGAATCAGCCCTTAAGGCATGCGGATCTGGCTGAAAAGCCCATGAGAGTATTTTAGGCATGGAAAGCCAAGACACTCTGGGGGGGGGGGGGGAAAACCTAAATGAAAGATCTCCACAAGTGAGATCCCAGTGGAAAGAACAGGTCATCAAAGAAGGAGGTACCTTTCTCTGAAGGGAGGAGAGAACTTCCACTTTGACCATGGCCTTGTCTAAATATGATCAGAGTCGGTGAACTCAGGGGGCTTCCATAGCCTTGGCAGCTCATGACAAGAGCCTAGGTTGATTACTGAGGCCATAAACAAGAGTGTGAATTTGTTAAGTCAACAACAGGAGTCACTGTGCACTTACTCTTCATGTAGGATCTCTGTCCTTAGTGTGCTGTACATTGAGATTTAATGCTATAACTAGTACGCAAACAGTATTTTTCACTTTCTGTTTCTGTGTGGGAGCAAACTGTTGAAATCTTTACTTAATGTATGCTAAATTGATCTTCTGTATATAAAGAGAATTGAAAATGAATCTTGATGTGAATGGAAGGGGAGAGGGAGTGGGAAACGGGAGGGTTGCGGGTGGGAGGGACGTTATGGGGGGGAAGCCATTGTAATCCATAAGCTGTACTTTGGAAATTTATATTCATTAAATAAAAGTTAAAAAATAAATAAATAAATTTTAAAACAACTGTAAAATAGATCTGCATTAAAGTATAAATAATTGTGAATACACAAACTATTTAGACCTAATAAAAAATGAAAAAAAAAAAAAAAAAGAAAGAAAGTCTCCTCAGGCAAAGGGAGAGGAAAGCAGGAAGAACACAGAGTACTTACAGACTTGTTCTAGAAAAAAACTTTTTTAAGAAATGTTCTCTTGGGGACAGTGCTGTGGCACAGTGGGTTAAAGCCCTGGCCTGAAGCACCAGCATCCCATATGGGCGCCGATTCTAGTCCCAGCTGCTCCTTTTCCCATCCAGCTCTCTGCTACAGCCTGGGATAGCAGTAGAAGATGGCCCAGGTCCTTGGGCCCCTGCACCCATGTGGGAGACCCGGAGGAAGCTCCTGGCTCCTGGCTCCTGGCTCCTGGCTCCTAGTTCCTGGCTCCTGGCTTCAGATCGGCCCAGCTCCGGCCCTTGTGGCCAATTAGGGAGTGAACCAGTGGATGGAAGACCTCTCTGTGTCTTTACCTCTCTCTCTCTCTGTAATTCTGTCTTTCAAATAAATAAAATAAATCTTTAAAAAAAAATTTCCTCTTGAGCCGATGGTGTGGTATAGCAAGTTAAGCCTCCACCTGTGAAGCTGGCATCCCATATGGGCTCCACTTCTGATCCATTTCCCGGCTAATGTGCCTGGGAAACCAGTGGATGCTGGCCCAAGTGCTTGGGCCCCTGCACCCACATGGGAGACCTGGAAAAACCCTGGCTCCTGGATTCTATTTGGCCCAACCTTGGCCATTGTGGCCATTTGGGGAGTGACCTGGCAGATGGAAGACCTTTCTCTCTGCCTCTCCTTCTCTGTCTGTAACTCTTTCAAATAAATTTTTAAAAAATCCTCTTTTGAACTAGATATTTCTGATTGAAATTTACTACTTAATGTAATAATGTTTTCTACTTCTTCAACTAAAAATGTGATAAGAAAAATATTTTATTATGTGCAGAACACTTGCAAATTGAAATTTTCAATAATTCATTTGTTTATTAATGGCAGAATCTCTCAATATAATTTTATTTGTGGATGCTTGTTATGAAATAACAGTATTAACATAAATCAATAAATTAAATTAAATCAATCTAATAAACACTAGAAAATTTTCCAGACATTCTAATTATAGATATTGAATACCACCTGATCACACTGGATTTAAATTTAACATAGTATTACTTTCATTTCTGGACCAGAGGTGCTAATTCTAAAGAAAATAAGGAAAGGACAATTAATTTTAGTAAGAATAATTGAGAAAAATTTTTTAATATGTAGCCTAGACCAAGCAACTTTGTCTGATGGAAATGACAAAGGTATACAAGCCAAAATAGAGGATGTATCCAAAGATTAAGTAGTCAAATTGCATGTAATAAAAAAGTCTGAAGCAAAAGAGGAGTTATAAAACTATCATATAATCACTCATTTTTAATAACGGTTACTATACTAATACTCAAAATACAATGTCTATTAAATTCTCAAAACAACTCTCTGAGGTATTATTTATACCAGGTCATAGATGAATACATTAAAAACAAAAGAAAATTGTTTCTCTGTCAGAGATTAAGTGAGTAGCAGGCTTAAATGTCAAACCCAGGACCATCTCATTCCAAAAGCCTCACTCTTACTAAATTATGTTGACTTAAATCTGGAAAGGTACATGAGAGGCAGATGGTAGAAAATCTCGAATCTCATCAAGAGACTGGATTTACTTTAATTAAGAATATGAGGGCCGGCACCGCGGCTCACTAGGCTAATCCTCCGCCTTGCGGTGCCAGCACACCGGGTTCTAGTCCCGGTCAGGGCGCCGGATTCTGTCCCGGTTGCCCCTCTTCCAGGCCAGCTCTCTGCTGTGGCCCGGGAAGGCAGTGGAGGATGGTCCAAGTGCTTGGGCCCTGCACCCCATGGGAGACCAGGAGAAGCACCTGGCTCCTGCCTTCGGATCAGCGCAGTGCGCTGGCCGCAGCGTGCCGGCTGCGGCGGCCAGTGGAGGGTGAACCAACGGCAAAAGGAAGACCTTTCTCTCTGTTTCTCTCTCTCACTGTCCACTCTGCCTGTCAAAAAAAAAAAAAAAAAAAAAAGAATATGAAGAACCAGTGAACTTTTTTGCATCATGCAATGGCTAGGTCTGATTTTGTGAGATGACACTGGGACAGCTGTCATGAATCCTCATGACAGTCGTGCTGTTGATCATCATGATCCAGAGACCCATGCCCACATCATTGAGGCAGGAAACCTAGTACTGCATTTGCTTCTGGGGGACTTGGGATGGAACAAGCCAACATTCCAGGCCCAGGGGACCCATCAGGTAACCACTGAGGTGAGTAGGTCCATGTTGTATTGTCTACAGCAGCACTGACTTATTCTATACATTAGTGAAAATATTTGCGCATCGAATTCCCTTGAGTTTATTTTTTTATCACTTTAAGTGAGGTAAGTGGACTTTGTAGTTGCTAGAGGAGGGTGTGCTTTCCCATGCTTGTGTCACTCTACTCCACCCTACTTCTTATTCTGGAACCCTCTCCACTCCCGGCATCTACTTAGTTTTTATTTCCTCCCCTCCTCCACACTCTTCTCAAGTACTACCACCTGCAGGAACATCTCTTGGCATCTCTTCCACTGCCACACCTGCTGGCATGGCTAACCCTCCTCTACTCCTTTCAATGATGAGCACAATACTCCCCCTATGCCTGCTACACTGTGGGTTCCTTGAGGAAGACAATGCTTTTCTCATTTCTCTCCAGTATCAGTAGAATGTCCAGGACATAGCATGCACTCCTTAATTTCAAATGGAAGAATAAAGTCAAAAGTCTCCCACGCACCTAAGAGCAAGTGTCTGCAGTTCAGCACTGTTACCTCTAGATAGCAGCCTTCTGAATGATTTTTTGAAAAGTTTATGTAAATATCACCCTTAGCAAGAAGTCACAAGCATTTAACTCAAGATGACTATTACATTTCTGGAGAAGTTGAATTTTTGCTGAAAGAGTACTCAAAAGAAGCAGTGGAAAACTGATTTCACATGCTTTTTGAAAATAAAATAATGCTGGGGCCAGCGCTGTGGTGCAGCGGGTTAACACCCTGGCCTGAAGCACCAGCATCCCATAGGGCGCTGGTTCTAGTCTCGGCTGCTCTTCCAATCTAGCTCTCTACTATGGCCTGGAAAAGCAGTAGAAGATGGCTCAAGTCCTTGGGCCCCTGCACCTGTGTGGGAGACCCGGAAGAAGC